CGGGAGTTCCGGCCCCGGCCCCGCCCCGGGAGACCCGCGCGGAGGGCCGAGGGCCTGAGGTTGGTGGGCTCTCAGAAAGCCTGCCCGGCCCCCCAGGCCTACTGGTTTGCAGGTCTGGGGCCCTCGCCTCACCTCCTCCAGCACCGTTGGGCACACCGCGGGCCCCACCCACTTGGATGCTTGCTTGGTGCCTGCCAGCTGCGCCCCCAGTCAACCTGGAGTACTCTTAAGCATTTCTTGGGGGAAATGGGCACCGCGGAAGGGGGAACCCACTGAGGTGGACACCCGCTTCACTAAGCAGCGTCCCCCCCAAAATGCTGAATTCCCGCAAGTGCCAACAGGAGCTTCTTAGGAAGGTGTGAGCAGGCCAGGTTCCTAGAGGGGTTTAAAGGTCCAGAGCCTTACCATGCCCACTCAGGAGCTCCCCTCCAGGGAGAAGGGCCTCATATAAGGAGCCTCCAGGGTGGGGTGGGGGGTACGCAAGGGGACAGGGAGGGAGGCAGCCCCTCCATGGCAGTCAATGTTTGCTACTGACAGTGGCAGGCCCAACTCCCACTTCATGACCCTGGGCTAGCCAGATGTGGTAAGCTACCCTCTGTTCATAAGACTAACTTAGGGGAAGGGAACAAAGTGTGCAAAGCTGGGGAAATGCAGAATGTAGGAGTGCTGGGTCCTGTCCCTTTGTCATCTCCCTCCTCTGCCCTCCCCCTAAAGGGTCAGCAGCAGCATCTCACCCTCCTGGAGGACAGACAGGGCACCAGGAGGCAGGTCAAAGAGTGCAGGTATCCACTCTTTCCTACAAGCTGTGCTGAAGCTGGAAAAGTGGGAAGAGTGCAATGACCTGCACACTGTAATTACTCGTCACTCATGTAAGTACTAGCCACTCATGTAAGTATTTGCCATTCCTGGGTTCCAGAAACCATAAGCTTCTGGGCTGAGGGGAACCGTCCCGAATCAGTGCTCCTGCCTTCAAACCTGCTTCCCACTCTGTGGGCTAGAAGCTTAAAGCCAGACCCAAACCACCTCCTCACACCTGTCACAGCCTTAGTGACTGTCAGCCACCTAGTGTGGCCTGTGGCCAAGGGAGTGGCTGTGTGCTGAATACCCCACCACAGGGCTGGGCAACTGAAGGGGAGCTTTGGGTCAGAGGCAGTTTCCTTAGGAGCAAGTCAGCACGTGGGCAAGTTCTAAGTTGTCTCCTCGGCAGGAGAGAAAGCACGTGGCCCATGCCCTCCACACCCCTCCCAAGTGCTGCCTGCTGACCACATAGGAACATGGTTACACAGCACACTGGGCCCCATCAGCAACTCTGGCTTTATTCCTAGTGGCCAGCTGACAGGACTCCTTGTGACAATGGGGCTCCCGTGTGACGATGCATCTTGGGCTGCTCTCCCACCTCCCACTGGAGACACACGCCTGGTCTTTGTACAAAGAAACGTTCTATCCACACCCAGTGGCCTGAGCTCTGGCAGAGCTAGGATGACTGTCATGCTCAAAGCACTTTGTAGAGGGATCCTGAGCTTGCAGAGGTTGCTTTCTGAACAGTGACCAGTCCTCCAGCTCCAAAAAGGGATGTCAACTCCTCATCATCTCAGGCGAAACAGCTCCTGTTTTGGCCAGTGGGAGTGGCCCCAGAGCTCAGGGTCAGAGATCCTTCATGGGGGACACACCAGCAGCTCACTTCTATCGGCTGGATCCACTAGGTCCCACATCCCATCCCAGCCCCCATCTCAGCAAAGCACAGATGGGGAAGGTGAGGCACTTGGGGGGGGCTGCTCCTGACCACCTGGGAGCCTACAGGTGGTCACTCCACTGCCTCCACTTGCCACTTTGCCCAGCCCGGGGCCAGGTGGCCAATCACCAGTCCCAACAAGCATGGCACAGCTGCCACCACACCCAGCTCCCTAGTCCCAACAAAGCAGCTGCTTCTCTAAGTAGCGGCCAGGGCTCCAGTCATGGAGGCGGTCAAGCTGTTGGCTTCGGCATGCCATCGGGGCCCAGGAGGTGAGCATGAGGGTGGTCCAGGATTTGAGGCCCAGGCCCCACCTGGTAGGTAGAGAAATCAAGTTAGGTTGGGTGACAGGGAAGAACAGGTGTACCCCCACCCTCCCAGGTAAGTACAGGTCAGAAGCTGACCACGATGTGGTGATGCCCTGGCCTGTGCCCAACTCCCTCGATTACCCGGACTTGACTGAAAGGTAGAGACAGGGACCTAAGTGCAGGACATCATGAGGACTTGGAACCAGACCATTTGAGTGAAATCCTGGCTCAGCCACTTTAAGCAAGGATCCTGATCTGCTTCCAATGGGTGAGCCCTGAGGGGCCCCAGGATCCCAGAGTCTCCATTTCCAGCCCTACCCTTTCCCCGCAGCACTGGAAACACGGCCCCATGAGTCAGTGTGTCCCGAAATGTCCACTTTGAGAGCAAGTGAGTGAAACAAACCAGTGGACCAGATACCTTGGAACTGCTGCTATTCTTCACAACTTGGCTTCCCACTCCAGATGAAGTGGGGGTGAAGGGAATCCCTTCACCTTGTGGACACACTGCACCTAAGCCTGTGAAGCTGTGTGCTGGATGGGGACTTCCCCAGGTGTGCTGGGCTGTGGGGGCCCCCGGATGCTGGGGCTGAGGGCCGGTGCCAGGCTCACCTGAGTGGCAATGATGTATTTAATTCTGCCGGGGGCGGGATCCATGCCCAGTGCAGCTTTGAGCTCATCTGAGAGTGGGGCAGGCCTCACAGGCAGCCCCTTCAGAAACCTGGGGAAAGGAAGGCAGGAGTGTGCTGTGCATCCATCGACAGGAGGTCTCAGTGCAGGACATGCAGACCAAAGACAGGAAGGGGTGTGACTGCCAATGGGCACAGGGTTTCTTTTGGGGTGATAAAAAATTCTGGAACCAGCCCTAGCCAGTTTAACTCAGAGGTTAGAGCGTCGGCCCTCAGATTGAAGGCCCCAGGTTCGATTCTGGCCAAGGGCACGTACCTCAGTTGCAGGCTCAATCCCTGGCCCCGGTTGGCACACAAGCAGGAGACAACCAATCAATGCGTCTCTCTCACATCAATATTTCTATCTCTCTCTCCCCCTTCCCCTCTCTCTGAAAAGCAATGGAAAAATATCCTCAGGTGAGGAGTAAAGAAAATAATAATGATAATTCTGGAACCAGATAGAAATGCTGGTTGCACAACAACAAATGTACTTAATGTGCCTGAACTGTACACTTCAAAGTGTTTTTTACCACACACATAAAAACTGAGCAAAAATGACCAAAGGCCACTGTGAAGGGAGGGTTTTAGGAAACGTCCTCAAGATTCTGGGTTCACCCATGGCCCATGGCTATTGCTCCACCCAGTGGGGTAACAACTTCAGAAAATGCCTCAGTTCAAGCACGGGTCGATCACCGTGTTCCTCTGCATACCACCCGCTGCAGTGACAAGGGCAATGAGTACAGAGCTCCCAAAGAGGGCACCATAGCTGTCCCACTTGGTAAGGAAGTTAGTATTCCAGCCTCCCACCCACTAACCATCAGTAGTGTCCCAATTACAGTACTACCCAAATTATGGAAACAGGTAAAACCACCCCCACACTTCCAGCACCCCTACCGGAAAGGTGTCCCCACATTGAGAATAGACCATTAAAACAACTGGTAGGAAGAAATCCAAATGCTCTATCCCCACAGTGGCCTGTAGTCACTATCCACACAGGAGGCATGATGTTGTATGTGCGCATTGTCTCTATGACTACGGGGCTAAGACATGTGATGGGGAAGAGTTCCCAGTCACAGCAAGGCGTACCTGGTGACACACTGCCTATGGTCCCCAAGGGGATCAACACTTCCTGAGGGACTCCCATTCAGCACCACAGCCTTAGGTGCAGCTGTCCCTGATCCCAGTAGGGGACCCTGCTCCTCCCTCCTGGCTTCCCAAACAGGAGGACCCACAACTCACTTGTCTCCGTTTGACTCAGGAGGAAAGCTGTGCCTCACGGCAGCCACAAACTCAGCCACAGTGTCGTCCAGGGTAAAGATCACAGCGTTGGGGCCTGCGTCGAATGTGTATGCCACCTGGAACCCACACAGTTAATGTCAATGTCTGCACAGTGCCTCTGCCTGACTCAGACCCTCTAGTCTGCCAGAGATCTAGGGCCTCCCACAGCGCCCATGGGTCAACCCAGAGTGGAGCAGGGGTACCTCTGCCCAACAACTCAGGAAGGGGGTGGGAGGGGTGTGCTTTAAAGTGCAGGCTGGGATCCCTTAGTGCAGGGGTGGGGAATGTCTGGCCCACGGGCCACAGATCAATTGGTCTGGTCCTGACAAGGCAACCGCAGGTAGGACTCAAAATTCAATAAATCTAGGAGTTTTATTCATAGCTAATTTTTAAGTTGATAATTTTGTATGGCCCGAGAATGATGTTATAAATATTCAGATGGCTCTTCACAGAAAAAAGCTTCCCCATCCCTGCCTTAATGGGTCTTGCAGCCAAAATAAAAGAGAGTGAGACGGAAACTGCCGATGCTCTGCATGCAAGAGCATAAAGCAGGCTCTGTGAAGTCATCACAGCCAAGGATGTGCTGTTTTTACTGAAGATTAAGGCCTGGGGCCCACTCTGTGGGTTTCCGGCACTGCCCTAGCCACAGCTTGCCTTGGTCTGCCCATGGTGGGCATTGAAGCGGTGCACCAGATGGATGATATGCCTAGAAGTGTCGTTGAGATAAGAGATGGGAGGGAAGGTGTCCAGGCAGGTGGCATGAAACTGGTTGCTGTCCTTCATAGTTAGCTGGCCAAAGCCCTGGAAGTTTCTCTCTTTGACACAGCGGATCATCTCTGCCATGCGCGCCGGAACCACTGCCTCAGCCCGGAACTGCAAGACACAGGTGCTTCCCAGTGAGGCGTTGGCTGCTTCACAGCCCAGCTGCCAGAGTGCAGGCTCTGGGGTAGAGCCTCCCCCAGGCCTCAGCGGCCACACGCCCAGCAGAGTAGATGAGCTCAGCTTCGAGGATGTGGGTGGAGCCTGGTGTGTGTTCTGACATGCAGGCTGTGTCCTGGGGAGCTGGAACCTGCCCCAATCCCAGCCTTACCCTGAGCAGGGGGCTGGTCTCCACACTGGTCTGCATGCCCACTGTGCTGCCAGTCAGCTTCTTCTCAGCACTCACCTGCACCGAGGGAGAGATGGATGGCCTAGACCTCACACCCAGGCCCCAGCCCTGAACACCCATCCCGTCCTATCCCTCCCCTCAGCAGGTACATGCAGTAGGGTGGAGGCCAGCACCTTCTGACCACAGAGACCTCTTGACTGTGACAGAGATGACACAGTTCTGAGAACAGCAGCGCATAGATCAGCAGCCCTCTTACTGCATGGGAGTCATTCCTGAACACTCCATAGAGAGCCATTGTGTTGCCCCTAGTAAGCTCGAGAGGCAGGTGAAGGCTTCCCTCCTGCTCTCAGCTAGCCAGGAGGACCCCTCGCTTCACAGCTGTCCACTCACCACAAGGATAAGGACTCGGAGTTCGGGCCAGTGTGATTCAGGGGCCACCTGCCGGGCGACGCTGTCCTTCCCATCAGCCTGCTCCCCCATCTGCCACTCCACGAAGCCGCCGTACAGGCTCCGGCAGGCGCTGCCCGAGCCCCGGCGAGCCACTTCTGAAAGGTCACTCTCGACTCCATAGACTTGGGCCAGGGTGTAGGCTGTAGGCCAGTAGGGAGGGGAGACAGGGAAGGGGGACTAAGACACGTAGGAAACGGGGAGTCCCAGCCCAGCTATGTTCAGCACCCTACGAAAATGTGCCCCACAGGAAATTAAAAATTCCAAGATGACAGTTTCAACTACCAACTCTCACCATGAGCATTTACCTGCTCACCCATGTGCCCACCCACATGCTCACACATAGCATTCTCAAAGGCACGCACTGGCCATGCAAAGACCACTGGAGCCTATGGAGCTGTAGCAGAGGGAAACCACTCTTGGGGACCTGAAGGACCAAGTGTCAGGGACTAGAGTTTCTCCAAGGAGTGGCACAACATTGGGCTTTTAGGGGTGCTGCTTGGGGCAGGAACCAAGGCACACAGGCCTGAAGAATGTACATGCCTGGGGCAGCCTGCATGCTGGGCGTGAAGGAGCAGGGCTGGGCCTGGTCAAGGGTCTGATGCCAGGATGCACAGCTGGGATCCACAAGGCAAGAGCTCTGCCCCAGACACTGGCACCCCTCCTGGCTTGGCTCACCTACACCTCCAATTCCTGAGGATAGTTCAGGCCTGGGTACATAAGCTAAGCTGAGCCAGTAAGCACAGTCCCTGGGGTTTTCACTGAGCCACTGGTCTCAGTGGCTATGAGGACAGTGTGAGCCCACTGCCCGCCACTGTGGTAATCAGCTTTGCCCCTAAGTGGGGAGAATGAGTCAACAGAGGAGAGCAAGACAGGATTTCAAAGGAGAGAAATGGATGCCAATGAGGCAGTGGGAGTCTGGAACCAGCTACACCTGAAGCCAGCTGCACCCCTATGCAACCCTCAGGAGATTTTAACATTCAGATGTGTGAGATGACCAAGGCCTCAGCCTCGTGTGATGAGGGCTCTCTGAAGGCTGCAAGAACATGAGTCTCGCTGTGGGCACCCACCTAGGCAGGCATAGCCTGCAGCTGAGGAGGCCAGGCCTGCGGCTGTGGGGAAGTTATTCACCGATGCGATGTGAACCTTGTAGCTGAGGCTGAGAGGTGGCAGGTCTCCCTCATCACCACTCCTCCGCTTTCGGGCCAGGCGACGGACTACGGGGAGGGAGAAATAGCCACTTGGCAGAGCTGCCCTGACCTGCTCCTGTCATCTTGCCTGCCAGAGCTCAGAGGCACAGCGGGCCTCTGCCCCAAATTTCTAACAGACCTCCTTGTTGAGGAAAGCCCCCAGCCCCGAGACCCAAACCCAGCTGTGCTAACAGGTGTCCCCACACACCCTGGGGGCTCGCACAGCCAGGTGGGGAGGGAAGAGGGAGCAGCACCTGCTGTGCTCTCAGACTCTGCCTAGAGCAAGGAAGAGATGGAGGGGAAGGAACAGGCTGGGACTGGCCCCGATATCCCATGTAAGACCCCTACTCACTCTCCCTCAGGCAGGCCTGGATGCGAGGCTGGCCTATGTCCTCCTCCCGGCCATTCAGCCAAATCCGGTCCTCGGTGAAGTCCTTGCTAATGACAGCTGTCGTAGTGGTTTTTAACTGGAAAAGAAAATACAGGGCCACCTCAGGGGCAAAGCACCCCTTTTGGATGAGGAAGCCTTTCCTGCCATGGCCCATCACTGTCACCCACTCAGGGGCAGGGACAGCCTTGCTGGAGAACAGAAGGTTGAGGTCAAGGCAGGAGGGGGTAAGGCGGTGTGGGAGACAGGCTCAGGCAGGATCGGCCCCAAGCCTGGTCTCCCTATACAGGCTGAGACCAACACTTCATCTCCCACAACAGAGCCACTGGGCGGGGTACGAGAGTGATGGGACAGAACCTGAGAGGAGACCTGGGGGTGCATGTGAGATGAGCATTCCTAACAGTGAGGCATGGAACAGACACTCTTCATGGATTGGGGATTTATTGCTATCAATTGATAAACAAAACTTTAGTAAACTTTTATTTTGGTTTTTATTGCCAATCCATACTAACCTGGTCTTGGTGCAAAGTGACACTCAGAGAAGAGTTGATGGGCAGGATCAATTCCTCATCTCGCTTTCCCCCTGGAACAGACAAGGCAAGGCCAGTTAGTTTCCCAGTCCCGCAAACCAGCGCATTGTTGCCCCCACCCACCCACCAAAGCCTCACTCTTCCCCACTGCTGCTCCCCAGTCACCCCCACTCCCATACTACAGTTCCCCCATCTGCCTGGACCATGCTCTCTCACTGCACAAAGTCCTCTTCCTGCTGTACCCACACCTTCAAGAAGCCCTCCTAGACTGCTCCCCACTTCACATGGCAAATAAGCCCATGAAAAGGGGTTCAGTACCATTGGCCGGCAGAAAAACGCACACTAAAACCACAACGAGGTATCACCTAAAACAAAAACCAGTGACACCACCAAATGCCAAAAAACAGTATACATTGTTGGAATGTAAAATGGTACAGCCACTCAGAAAAGCAATTTAAGAGACTCTTTAAAAAAAAAAAAAAAGTAAACAGCAACTACCCTATGACCCAGCAGTTGCACACCTGGGCATTTATCCTAGAAGAATGAAAACTTATGTTCACACAAAAACCCATATAAAAAGTTTATAGCAGCTTTATTCCTAAAAGACCAAAGCCGGAAACAAGAGTGTATGACCTGTGGCCCGTGGACACCATGGAACAGGAGGACTCAGCACTAAAGGAGTGAAGTACTGATATCACTACCACTTGGATGAACCTCTATAAATTATAGTGAGTGAAATGAGCTAATTTCAAAATGCTACATGCTGAACGGTTCCATTTATGAAGCATTCTTGAAAAGAGAACATGCTAGAAATGAAGAGCAGGTCCCAGGTGGCTGGGGTGGGCGTGACCTTGGGAGCTGACCGCCCCCCCTTAGGGATGGAGATCCTGTGTGGCCCATGTATCCCGACCCGGGCCCCCGCGAGAATGGACGTCTTGTGTGAACCATGTTCACCAAGCATCCAGTACCCGCGAGGATCTACGTCCTAGGGGGGCTGTGTCCCCACTTCCGCGGGGATGGACATCTGTGTGTTCGGTGTCCCGGCTGCAGCATGGGTCCGGGGCAACGCCTGCCACACCGCCGGGCTGAAGTGGACACGGCTGGAGTGAGTTCTTACAACTACATATGGACCTCTAACCGCGTCATCACCTCATCCACGGCCCACCCGCGCCGGGCCGGCGGCCCCCACGTGCGCGTCCCGGGCCAGTGCACTCACAGTACTTGATGACCGCGATGTTGACCGGCGCCGTGCAGGTCACAGCCACAAGCGGCTCCTCCGAAGCCATGGTTGAAAAATTCCAGGACCTCAGCCCACTGCCGCCAGACGTAGGAACCAGCGCCCCCGCAAGCTCTGCCATTGGCCCAGCTTGTTCGCATATCGTCCAATCAGTGGCGGGTTCTGCCACGCTCCATCTNCGAGGCTGAGCCCGCCCCTCTGCCCGGGGCTGACTTGCTCGCTCTCGGCGCCCGCACGTAGTGTGCGGAGGCTCGGGACCAGCCGTAGCGCGCAGGCCCGTACGCGCGGGGTGTGCGCAGGCGCGATTCGGCAGTCTTCTGGGAGCGCTGCCGACGCGCTGAGGTACCTTCCCGGCGGGCCGGCGGGGCGGGCGGCGGCAGGCAGTGGACGGTTTGGATCCAAGGGGTTCTCCTGGCTGAGAGGAGGCTGAGTGGGGCGCGGGAGGCCAGGTTCCCCGGCAGCTCGGGTTGGAAGACGGGTGACCGTGCCGGGGTGCGCCCGGGGCCGAAGGTTAAGAGGCCCTCAGCGCGGCATCTCGCGACGCCCGGGCGTCTCGGGCCCTCCGCGTGGGGTCCCGCGGCCCGCGTTTCCTCACGGGCCCTGTCCCCTGGGGGGTTCCCACCAGTCCCGCAGTCCCCTGGATGACCAGTGCCGCTGGGGGGCAGCTGCTAAGGAACGAACCACTTTAGAGATAGGCGCTTTCAAAGCCCACTCTCTTTTTATTATTTTTTTAATCCTTTCCCAAGGATATGTTTTTATTGATTTTTAGAGAGAGGAGGAGGGTGAGGGAGAGAGAAACATCGATTGGTTGCCGCCCATACAGGCCCGGACCGGGCATTGAAACGGCAACCTCGGTATGTGCCCTGGAATCCATCGGGGACCCTTCTGTGCTCTGGACCAGCTCCAACCCAGTCACAGTGGCCAGGGCCCCACTCTCCTTTTTTAAGCTCCGTATAAGCAAGGATTATTTTTTTCAGAGATTGAAATGGATTGGCACATTTATGGATACATAGGCTTTTTTCTTGTGATAAAATACACTTAACGAAGTTTATCATTTTATTTTTTAAAGATACCTTTATTGATTTCAGAGAGAAAGAGGGAGAGGGAGAGAGAGAGAGAGAGAGAGAGAGAAACATAAATGATGAGAGAGTCATTGATAGGCTGCAGCCTACAACCCGGGCATGTGCCCTGACCGGAATCGAACCCCAATCTCGTGGATCCTAGGTCCGCACCCAACTGCTGAGCCATGCCGCCCGGCGAAGTTTATCATTTTAACCACTTTACACAGTCCTGTGGCATTAAGTACATTCCCACTGATATGCAACCGTCACCACTATCCATTTCCAGAACTTTTTCATTACTCTAGACTGAAATTCCTTACCCGTTGAACAGTAACTCCCCATTTTCCCCTTACCTTTATAAAAATTTATTTTTAGCTTTAAAATAGTTAAGATTGCAGTCAAGATATTAAGAGAATTAAGAGCAATATGCAGTCTCCCACCCTGGGCCCTGTTACAGATTCTTTGTGTTTCTTTCCACCAACAGTTTATTCAAAATACAAGCACACCTTGGAGATATTGTAGGTTCAATTCCAGACCACTGCCATAAGGTGAGTCACATGAATTTTTTGGTTTCCCAGTACATATGAAAGTTATGTTTACACTACTGTGGTCTTTTAAGTGTGCAATAGTGTTACATCCAAAGAAACTACAAATTCTTTTTAATTTAAAAAAATTTTCAATTACAGTTGACATACAGTATTATATTAGTTTCAGGCATACAACACAGTGATTAGACATTTATGCAACTTACACAGTAATCACCCCCATAAGTTTGATACCTAACTGACACAACACACAGTTGTTAGAATATTATGGACTATATTCCCTGCTGTACTTTACATACCCGTGACTGTTTTTATAACTGGCAATTTCTACATCTTAATCCTTTCCCCATTTTCACCCTTCCCCTTTTTCACCCATCACCCAACCTGGCAACTATCAAAATGTTCTCAATATCTATGAATTTAAAACCATACATATCTCAGACCTGGCTGGTGTGGCTCAGTTGTTTGGGTGTCATCTGGTGCATGGAAAGGTTGCTGGTTCATTTCCTGGTCAGGGTACATACCTGGGTTGTGGGCTTGATCCCCAGTAGGGGATGTGCAGGAGGCAGCCAATCGATGTCTGGCTCTCACATGGATGTGTTTGTCTCTCTCTCTCTCCCTCTCCCTCCCTCTCTACAAGTCAATTTAAAATGTCTTTTAAAAGCCCTAGCCAGTTTGGATCAGTGATTAGAGCATTGGCTCAAGGACTGAAGGGTCCTGGGTTCAATTCCAGCCAAGGGCATGTACTTCTGTTGCAGGCTCGATCCCTGATCCCCAGCCCCGGTCAGGGGATGTGTGGGAGGCAACCAGTCGATGTGTCTCTCTCACATCATGTTTCTTTCTCTCCCAGTCTCTCTGAAAAGCAATGGGAAAAATATGCTTGAGTGAGGATTTTTTTAAAAAGTCAGTTACCAGACCTAAACCTCACCTGCTCTCCTCCAGATTCCGCTCATCAAAAGCAGCCACTTTCAAATCTTTTATTTTCCTCCATGTTTCTAACCTATCCTTCCCCCCTCCCTCCCTCTCTTCCTTCCTTCCTTCCGTTTTAGGTAGCACCTGTTGATTACCCACTAAGTATAGAGATAAGGAATTCTCCATCCAACCACATTCTTTCCTCCCCCATCCTCCTCCCAGAAACAGTAAAATGGGTATTCCTTGTTTTTGTTACGATGATGATGTGTACTCACATCATACATTTGAGCCGTGTAGGCATAAATGCCTGACAGTGTGCATGTAGGCTAGGGCTCCCTTACTTAGTGGAGAACCTTGAATGAACAACCCCCCTAAGCGAGGGCTAGACATAGATCCCCATGCTGACACCTTCAGCCCAGGTCCCACTGAACTGCCAACCTATGCACATGTATAAAACTCATCATAGTAAGTAACTGTGAAATAAATACTTTTTTCCTATTTTCACATTTCTGTCAAATAGGTTGTGGGGTTAATGTCTTTTGAGTCACATTGGGGGTGATCAGCCAGAGGACAGGAACTTGAAAATACATCCACATATTATTCTAATTTGTTCCTATTAAGTGTTTCAAAGGGGATGATGGTAGGTACAGGAAAACAGACTAAAGGTTGAAATTTTAAGGTTAAGGAGCAAGAAAGAATAGTAGTGTACACTCCTGCAGGCCTGTAGCATCTCCCACAATCTTCCTCAGATTTCCGTTTTTGTTTTAAAGCATTTTTTAAGTTGTAAAATATGTGTAACATAAAATTTACCATCTTAAACATTTTTGAGTGTACAGATGAGCGCTGTTAAGTACGTTCACATTGTTGTGCAACCATCACCCAGTCCACCTGGAGAGCTTTTTCATCTTCGCAACGGAAACTCTGTCCCTGTGAAACAACTCCCCATTCCCCTACTTTAGCCCCTGATACCCACCATTATGTTTTCTGTCTCTATGAATTTGACACCTCTAGAGACCTCATATAAGTGAAATCATATAATATTTGTCCTTTTGTGTCTGTTTTATCTCATTCAGCATAATGTCCTCAAGGCACATCCATCTTGTAGCATGTGTCAGAATTTCCTCCCTTTTTAAGGCTGAATAATATTCCACTGTATGTAGAGACCTCATTGTGCTTGTCCCCTTATCCATTGATAGTCATTGGGCTGCTGCCACCTTTTGGCTACTGTGAGTAATGCTGCTGTGGACATGGATGTACAAATACTTTTTTATGTCCTTGCTTTCATTTCCTTTGGGATGTACCCAAAGGTGGAATTGCTGGGTCATATGGTAATTCTATTTTTAATTTTTTGAGGAACTTCCATAGTGTTTTCCACAGCAGTTGTACCATTTTACATTCGCACTAACAGTGCAGGGGGTTTCTGATTTCTCCACATCCTTGCTAACACTTGTTTTTTGCTTTTTTTTTTTTTTTTTTTTAATAAATAGCCATCCTAATGGGTGTGAAATGCTATCTCATTGTAGTTTTGATTTACATTCTCAGATTTTCTTTTGTTTAAGGTGATCTCCCAGAGTTGATGAGAGAAAGAGTAGGATGGTATTTCTTAAATGTTAACGGTCATACAGATCATCTAGGGAGATTTTTTAAATGCGGGTTCTTACTCGAGAGGTCTAGGGTGAGGCCTGAGAGTCTATATTTCTAGCAAGCACCCAGGAGATGCCAGTGGCAGAAGCTGGCAGTCCAAGGGTCACACCATGAATAGAAAGATTGATGACAGAGAGCACATGGGCTCTGGAGTCTGGCAGACCTGGGGTGTAAATAGGTCTTTTAACTATAGTGCACCTCAGTCTCCTCACCTGTGAAATGGCAGTAATGCTCCCTACAGAGTTATAAATTGCCAATGCAAGGTTTCCGACCCAAGCACAGAATAAATGAGCGTCATCAAAGCTGCTATCTGGCCCATTCCTGTTGGGATGAGAGATGAGACGGAGCTGCCAAGGCAGAGATAAAGAAGTAGAGGCCCTCATGTGCCATTATCAAGCACTGTGTATGTGATGAGGGTCACTCCTGACTTGTTCCTTGAGCCTTTTGTGCCTTGGAGCTACAGAGAATGTGAGGGAGTCTTTCTGCTCATTCAGTAAACTGGTCATGTGTCTGCCATGCTTCATGGTGCTTTGCTAAGTGCAGATACACAGTGTGATGAGCAAGGATGGATGATGAAGCAGAAACTCAATCAGAACCTTTCCTAGGCCCCAGTAAGTTTGGCCTGGGCCTGAGTACTGTCACATAGCTGTCCCCCTTCTTCCCACTAGGAGCTGCCAGGACAGCCAGCAGAGGGGACCAGAGAGCAGTACTCCAAGGTGTCCTGGGTGATGATCCTCGGTGGCTTTGGCTGCCTGACCGTCTCTCTGGCCACTTTGCCACAGTCTAGGCATCTGGATTAAAAGGATAGAAGATGACTTGAAAGGAAGGCATGCATCTGTACATAGACTTTTTAAAAATTTCCTTTCATTTAAACTTAATTCACTCCAGAGTTTTTCTGGAACCCAGCAGATGCAAAAGATCACT